GCAACTTTCTCTTCCTCAACAGGAATCTCTTCTTCCTCTTCCTCAGCGGCAGCAACTTTCTCTTCCTCAACAGGAATCTCTTCTTCCTCTTCCTCAGCAGCAGCAACTTTCTCTTCCTCAACAGGAATCTCTTCTTCCTCTTCCTCAGCGGCAGCAACTTTCTCTTCCTCAACAGGAATCTCCTCTTCCTCTTCCTCAGCGGCAGCAACTTTCTCTTCCTCAAGAGGAATCTCTTCTTCCTCTTCCTCAGCAGCAGCAACTTTCTCTTCCTCAACAGGAATCTCCTCTTCCTCTTCTTGAATAACAATATTCTCTTCTAGAAAAGCAATGGTTTCTTCTTCTAAAGGTCAACAGGAAAAATAGTGATGAGATAAAAGGTAAACAATACAGCATTTTAATAACTGTGCCTTCATTTAATAGGGGAGATCCAGAATGGAGAGTTTTAGTTTAGTTCAGTTTATTGTCATTGCAGCTCATACAACAAAATTAAATGCCATCTTCAGTGTATATTATAACTATAAAAATAAAACACAAACACACATCTTTCACATTCTATACAATTGAATTGAAAACCCCTGATATTGCATTAAGATTGAACTATACAATAAAATTCAATATAGTTACTGCTCTGGGATAGAAGCTGTTTTTCAGCCTATTTGTCCTTGTTTTTATTATCCTGTACTGTCTGCCAGATGGTAATAGTTCAAAAAAAGGGTTCCCAGGATGAGATGGATCTTTGAGAATGTTTTGAACTTTCTTAAGGCAGTGGGAGCTATAAAGCTCTTCCAAAGAGGGGAGAGGGCAACCAATAATCTTCTGGGCAATGACATTAACCCTCTGGAGTGCTTTCCTATCTGCCATTGTGCAATTGGCAAACCATACAGAGGTGCAGTAAGTTAAAATACTCTCTATGGTGCAGAGGTAGAAAGTCACCAGCAGTTTTTCATTCAGTTGTTGTTTCCCGAGAAATCTCATGTAGTATAATCTCTGCTGGGCCCTTTTGACCAGTGCTGCAATGTGAGCGCTCCAGGTCAGGTTCTCTTTTATGATAACACCCATAAACTGTTCCTTCTATAATCCAGTATAAGCTCCTTGGTCTTATTGGTGTTAAGGACCAAGTTATTGTTTCCACACCATGAAAGCAACTGGTCCACCTCATCTCGATAGGGAGACTCATCCCCCTCTGAAGACGAGTCCCACCATTGTTGTATCATCTGCAAATTTAATAATAATATTACTGGCATGAGTGGGAATGCAGTCATGCACATAAAGAGTATATATGTATGTATATATATATAAAGAGTATAGAGTATATATAAATAGTACAATATATCCTAAAAAAGGAGGGAGGGCTAACTTTGAAACCGCTAAATTCCCATTTTATCTGGCATAATGTCCATAGATACAAAATCTCTGAATTCTATTTTATTTTTTAAAAAATCTATATAACTATACGTACATCTATACCTATTATATATATTAAAGATTGTTGGACAAGCCCTACATTCTATTTCCACACAGGACTTGATGGAGGACCTTCAGGAGCACATTGTTTCATACATGAACCAAAGTTTATTGGTTGTATAATTCAAAGTTGTCACATGAGGCACAATAGCAACAAAAATACACAATTATTTTTGTGTTCTTTTACCTCTCTCAGTACATTGTTAATCAGTTTATTAACTTACCAGGCTGAGGATATGGCTGGAGTGCCCTCACCGACTTCATAAATTCTCCTAAGTTTACTTTCCCTTCAACTAAGAGGAAACAAAAACCCAAAGGAAGTGTTGCTGAGAAAGTCCATTTATAGCAATACACAGTTTGGGTCTGTTATTTTATGAGATAGTAGATAAAAAAATAGAAATATAGATATATAAAAAGAAATATATTTTAATATTTTTAATGAACTTTTAAAAGCACAGAGTACTACTTCCCAAGAGACTTAAGTAGCATTAGGAATTAAAAGACTCATAATGTTTTTTTTTCTATTCATAATGAATGTTCCATATAATGCTGACTTCTTCACTGTAGGACCCATGGGATCTTGATATTTCAAATTAAATCAAAGCAAATCTTTATTAAAGACCAGAATAGACCTTGAAAGTTTGAAGTACCCCAGCCAACCTATCCCTGAAATGTTAATTGCTGTGGGTCATGGGGCTCAAGGGCAATGTATCCAAATAAAGTATATCCTGTGGAAGACTGCTATACTGTAGTATACAGTACATAAGCACTGGATATATAAATTCCTCAAACTAAACATGTCTTTTAGATGTTATAAATATCGGAAAAATTGCACATAAAAAAGCCCGACTGAAGAATTATTTTACACCATGTTTTTTAAAAAAATTCTTAAATTATAGGCATTTTCCTGGTTTTCTAATAGCAATACGTGCAATAACAAGTATGAAGATAATTTGCATATTATACTTATCCTTGAAAAATCATCACAGGCATAAGAAAAGGCCACAAATGGCAAGAGATAAAAGTATTCATCCGCCAACAAATTTTCCCTTTACTCCCAGGTCCTGTTCATCTGCCTTGAAATGCAGCTATCATCTTCTAACCCAGTTCATACATAATGAAGACCAGTTGCTAGCACAGATATAGCCATAGTCATTCAGTCCGAATAGTGCATGCAAAAATATATACAAACTATAGATTTCAGATAAAAGTCTACAAGTCTAGAGGTATTCTGTGGAAAGAACCTTATTTAGTTTTCATTCTGTCTGTCTTGTCCCTTCCCCCCATTCTTTACTTCTACAAGGAATACCGTTTCTTTTTTTTCCCATCCCTGCTCCTCTTCCTGCTGTCATCATCAACTGTGACCACGTGACCAGGGGTGGGATTCAAATTTCTTAACTGATTCTGTGGGTGTGGCCTAATTTGTGGGTGTGGCTTGGTGGTCATGTGACTCAGTGGTCATAGCTTGTATGTAAATATTATAAATATTTACGTAAATATTGATTTTTTATATAAAAAAAGAGCAACTTTTACTCCAACGTGGGCAAAGCAGGCAGGCAGATTGAGTTGCTCACAGAATCACAGATTCACTTAGAGATCTATCTATCTGCAATGGGCTACCCGAGTCTGTCACATAAAATTTACTAGCAAGCAAACTCACAAAATTAACTCACAACACACCATGCATGTAAATATTGAATTTTTTATTTTAAAAAAGAGCAACTTTTATCCCAAAGCAGGCAAAGCAGGCAGGCAGATTGAGTTGCTCACAGAATCACAGATTAACTTAAGAGATCTATCTATCTGCAATCGGCTACCTGAATCTGCACTGAAAAGCTTCAGTCCTAAGGAAGGTTCGGCTCTGCTTTTAGATTAGCTAGAAAGTAAGAAATCCAAGGATTTCCTGCTTTCTAGTTAATCTAAATCTCCTGGCAGAGCAGAACAGCTGGTGGTCAGAAGAAAAAAAAGGAAAAATCGCAACTTACCAAACCAGTCAAGTTGGATGGCTCGCATGCCAGGTAAGGAGTGAGTGGGCGGAGAGGGGCGGGGCTAGACAGTGGAGCGATTTGCTGGTTCTCCAAACTGGGGACAATCATGTGTTCAACGTTTGCAAGAAATCATCAGCTGTGCCGCCTGGACAGCTGTTAACCACTGCGCTCGGTGTTTGAAAATCCTCTTGTTTCCTGCTTTTTCAACCTCAGCTGTGCCGTGCAAAGCAGCCGAGGAGGGAAAGGCAAGGAATAAAGGACAGCCTAGAGCCTGGGCGGGCGGGCGGGCCAAACACCGAACTGTTCGTGTCAGCTGCTCTTTGCAACTACAGGTTCTATAGAACTGGGCTGAACCGGCAGCATTCCACCCCTCCACATGACAAATAGCTTTCTGCTGGTCAGGTCAAATTTGCAGCTGTGCATCAATTTCAAGCAAAGCATTTTGCCATTCTGTCAGTGAGCTAACCAATCAGAGCCTTGCCTTTGGAGTCTGCTGCCAATTGACTCATTGTCGGTGCCCCCAAATGATAGTATCTGATAGATTGATAGTGTCTGATAGGTTCACAAGTGAAACATAGCCACTGACCTATCTCTACTAGTATTAAGGCAGGACTTAGTAACTTCTTTCTGGCTAAGAAATATTCTTAAAATTCAATGGTATAATACTGATATGCTTGAATCAGATGGAATTATAATTTTTGCATGTTCTTTTTTCATAGGGCTGTGTGTCTTGGTGGATAATTAAAATTACTTCGTTAAGTCAAGCAGGAATGTAAATACCCATTTGCTTCTTTCTTTTAAAAAACTTACATTGCTGAATTTTGATTTTTTTTTTTTTTGCCATCGTATTTCAGTGGTATAATGTTATCTGTACTGATATTTCTGAGCTTGCAAATTGTGGGACACGTTACATAGGAGTTGAAAATCAACTTTCAATTTTATAGTTCTATGATTTTATAAGCATTCAGAAAAGTAATGGAAAAATAAATACTAACTATCTATTGGGGTAGTTGCCAAGGCTTCCTGGAATTCTGCTTCTGTGAGTTGAATGCCTGCAGAGGTCAGAATCCTGTTCAGATCTTGAATATCAATCCTGTCTCCTGCATGTGCAGATAAAGGAGGCAAAAGATAGGTTCAACTCCTACTTATTTCAAGCACAGAAAAAGAGTAATAAACTAGTTGTTAACCTTGTTTCGTTTAAAATACCTGTTCTAAAAAGAAAATGAATATAATTTAACTACCACGACTCTGGGAAGAATATGGTTTAGTCTACTTCTCTATAGCTAAATGTCTATGGAGATTCTCAGTCATCCAGGTCATGGTTGCCCCAAAAGTGCTTCACCTGAAGAAGCTTCTTGAATGAGAAGCAAAATGTCTTCAAAGAAAAACAGAAAGTTCAGTTGTTTCTGGAAAAAGCATCTTTGGGTCTACTCCTGTATGTTATTATGTGCACTATAGATTCAATTATTTATGCAATTCCAAAAGTGCTTTACAAAGGCAACTGGACTTTCTTGGTTTGTTTTCTTGAAAACCATTCACTTATCATCCAAGAAGCTTCTTTAGTTCAGTGATCCCCAACCTTTCTTATGCCGCGGCCCGGTATCCCCAACCTTTTTTATGGCGCAGCCCGGTACCGGCATTAGCTGGGCGCCGCCATCTTTTTTTGATGAAAAAGTGCTTCCGGTGAGCTTTCTACCTGGAAAAGCTCACCAGAAGCGCTGGCGCCGCCATCTTTTTTTGATGAAAAAGTGCTTCCGGTGAGCTTTCTACCCGGAAAAGCTCACTGGAAGCACTTTTTCATCAAAAAAGGATGGCGGCGCCCAGCAAACCAGCGGCCCAGTAGGACTTGTTCCACGGACCGGTACCGGTCCGCGGACCGGTGGTTGGGGACCCCTGCTTTAGTTCATTTCAATGTTTGTTTTAAAAGAATTTCACTACATTTAGTCCATCACTTTATTCTCTTATTCTCAAAAGCAAACCAGAAAAAAAGAGAAGGAAAAAATAGATTTGCAGCAAAGCATAGGCTCAATTTCCATAGCATGAACAAAAATATGTTTAAAAAAACTATGATGAATAGAACCACTGGGGGTTAGCTCCTAAAACAAGAGTATATAATCTTTGTGGGAGGGAGGCTATCACTTGACCTTCAATTGCCAAATGGGGGCCATACTACAAAAATGCACAGTGTCAGGACCAAAGTACTACCTCATTTAGGATAAAAATGAAATTATTTTTAATATTATTCAGCAGTATTTACTTCCTCGCCCATCTTTTTATAAAATGATTTTTTTCAACTACAAAATTTCAAGGTGAAAATATAAATTTAAAATTAATTACAGTATTTTGCATAAAGTATATAAGCAGATGAAGTATATGATGTTCAGGTTTTCAAAAGTTGGGCGTATTGTATTTTCAGCTCCAAGTTAAAACAATTTTTAAGAAAATGGCCCTTTAGTTTTTGAACTTTAAAAGCTTCACATGCTTTGTCTCTGCTGAGGACTATTTTAATGCCTTTAACTTTTGCATTTTTTTTACACTAATCATTTTATTAAATCAATTATTTCACAAGACTGGAATTACTAGAATGCTTCTCCATAATTTAAAAAGAGTAACTTTATTTTTTTAAAAAAGCAAACAAGGAAATGTAAAGGAGACCAGATAGATAAAATATCCATTCCAACCTCCTGATTCAACTTACTTTCCAGCTTAAAAGGCCGTTTCATGAGCATAATGTTTTGCAAAACATTCTTCATATCCACTTTGTCAATACCTGCACACAAAATGTAAATAGCATGAGGAGCATCAAGGAAATTGGAATAGGGAGGAAGGAAGGAGTGAAACAAATATAGCAATTTTACTTCTGCCCAGTTTTTTTAAGGGCAGCCAAACAGTTCTTCAGTTCATATTGACTTATAAACTTATAAGTTATTGGTTTGTTGACAGAAAATACCAGCTAGAAATATAGGGTGCCATTAGCAGTTCCTATCTGATGAGTGGTATATGTGAAATATCAGAGACAAAAGGAATGTTCTCATTAATCTCAGATCAGGGCCTTCTTAACAGTATTATGGACCCCTGGGCAAAGCAGTGTGCAGGGGCTCCTATGACAACTACTCACAGGAGTAAAAATGTAGATGGTCGATAAAATTAAACATATATCTGTTGTAAGACTGTGAAATGCTTGTTAGTAAAGTACCAAATTAATTCCCAATCTTTGCATCTGATTTCTTTCTTCAGATACCAAGAAGTACAGGTGGGAGTTGGAAACAAATAGAGGATTAGATGTCATGTTAGTAAGAATAGTGTTGGAAGCTTGGAAGCTGAGTAGTTTCCTGGCTCATTCATTAATTCTGAGCCAGGCATTTTGTTTCTGGTTTTGAAATCCTTGAAGAGTTTGGAATGGATCTACAAAGGGATGAATTTGAAAGGATCAGATTGTTTTACTCAATGTGGGAATTCCTGTTAATATATTCATTAACTGAGTAACACAATAATTTTAATGATTCTGTTTAAAAAACTGGGCTGAAAAATTTGGGATTTAAAAGTCTTTGGGGTGGGGAGTGATCTCCAGGGCCAGTGTCTGGCAGGTGCATACAACCTTCAAATTGTTCATCCTTGTTATAACTGCCTTTTCCATTCAACTTACCATCAAGTGTAAGGAGTTTCAGAGCCTCTTGAGTTTCTTCTTCTGTTATATTGAGGCCCATTTCTGTCAGGCTGGAACTCAAATCACCAGTTTCAACCATTTGCCCTGATATCAATTTACAAAAAACCATCCAATGTCACAATCCAAGATTCATATTTCATAAGTATCAGTATATCGTTGCCAACTGGCCTGGTGGTTTCTGCCACCCTTCAACTCCCCAAACCCACCCCCTTGGAATGAGAAAACAAACAATTTCACTAGATGGTTTCCTACTTTTAGCCATTAAGGATTAAAATTGGTAGAAGTAGATAGATGGGTGCGTATCCTTCTACATGGAGTTATTTTCAAGGTTGTGTTGCAGCTACTAATATTGTACCAAACATGATATCCTGACTAATAGTTAATTATGTGTCATATATATTACAATGTCAATCAGAATAAAGTTTAAAAAGCATACTATTAACCCATACTTATAGGTTAATATAGGATCATTAATAATCCCATCATAATCAGAAGTATATAGCGTATTCTTCCTTCCTAGTAAGGTTTCTACCTACTGCTGTATTCAGATTCATCTCTAAAGTGTGTTGATTTCTGTTCCTGCTAGTGATTGGAATCAGTAATCTTAAAATTTAGCACCACTATTTCAAGATCAGGGTGATAAAAGCCTGAATTATTTTTTCTAATATGCACCTGTTAAGAATTAATTTCTACATTAAAAAGAATCCAGCATCAACTCTTTGAATAAAATCCAGGACAAAAGAAAGCAACAAGACATGACACGTTATAATGATTGCAAAGAGCAATTCAGCAAGAGGTATAAATTGGGCAACAGGTACCCAATGACCTGAACTGCAGGCACTTATCTTAACAACAGCTGCTGAAGCACAAGAGAAGAGGATAATTACTGCCACCTGTTCATCTTTGAGAGCTTCCCAAATATATCTAATTGGACACAATAGAATGCTTGATTCTATGGGTTGTGATTGTTTATATTTTTACTTGTATTCTTTATTATATTATAAATTATTATAATTAGGATGTTTCCATGGAAAATATGTTGCATAAGGAGTTTTTTTTAAAGTTACCTCTCTAGTAATTTAAATTCTACACCTATTCTGCAAGACAACATTCCCTAATAGAACTATGAACCACTAACCATTTCACATGAACAGGAGTAGATAACATTGTCTTTATGCTGCCAGCCCACTAGGAAAGACCCACTTCCTGCCTTTTGAGTCTACTTTGGAGCAGGAGGGGAGGGGAGCAAAGGAAATGCCCAGTTTGCCTAATGACTCAGGGTGGAACTTGAAAAAAGCAAACATCCAATTCTTACAACAACAACAAATTGTCATCTTTTCCACAGTGGCAGTAACCACAATTATAACATTTTTATTTTGGTCATAAATCAGAAAATAAAGTATAAAATTTATACCAGTTGCTACATCGATCAAAGCTATAAAAATTTTACCCGTTGGCTGGCAAATTTAAGAATATCAACTCCAGACTATCCTTCAGTTTATTGTAATTTCAATTATAATTTCAAATTGCCCGGAGACTTACCTCCTGCACTTAATATGAGCTTCATATTCTTCACCCCTTCCATCAAATCACTCAGATTAACTTTTCCATCCTCTGCAAGACAGAGGACGAAGTAATTAACCCAGCTGAACAGGAAAGCCTAACTGAGGCTGCTGTTACTTACATCTCAAGAAATATGCATAAAAATAACAAAACTATTTCTGAAACTGGAATTCTCTGGAAATGTTAGAAAAGCACATTTATAGCAAATGTTAGGAATTATAGCCCTAACACATCTTTGAAAAGTGGGCATATGTGTGGTAATGTGCAGAAGACTGAATCAACAAATAGCATTTTTATTTTTATTTACAGATTACAGATTAACAGAATTGGAAGGGACTGTCGTATTTTGTAATAATACTCCTAACACGTGAGTTCCCTGCACACAAACTGCTTTATTTTTCTTAACTCCTCCCTTCCGGTTCCTTCATACTGTGTCACCTCAAAATATGTCCCTCACTACTCTCTGTCTAACATTGGTTCTCTTCACAGTTAAAAACCAACAGGTTCCATTTACCCTACACCACAGGGACCTTGTAGGTCATCTAGTCCAACACCCCACCCAAGCAGGAGACCTTCACCATTTCTGACAAATGGCAGTCCAAACTTTTCTTGAAAGCGTTCAGTGATGAAATTCCCACAACATCCGAAGGCAAGCTGTTATATTTGTATGTTCCTTTCAATTTATTATGTACTTATTTATTTATATCCTGTCTTTATTATTTTTTATAAATAATTCAAGGCAGTGAACATATCCAATACATTTTTCCTCCTATTTTTCCTAGTTCCCATGTTTCCTTATAATCCATATCTGTTTTATGTTTATCATTCCAGTCATTGAACTTTCTCAGTTGGAAACTAATTTTCTACTCTAAGTTCCATGCCTGTATTCTAGTGACTTAAGAATGATTCTAAATTCTAAAACTGCTGCTGACTGATATTCTTTGACCCTCTATTTTTTTCCTGAAGTAGGAATGTCCACAGGTAGGTGAGGGCAAAAAAGATGCCAGCTTCACTCCCTTTTTACACGTGTTACACATAAAATAGGCACATCACTCCATATGCATGGTCATGGCTGTCCTGTTGACTTTTTTAATCCTCCTCATGGACATCCATGCTCCTAAGCTTTCAAACTCTCCACCCTTTTTGAGTAATGGCTTTTAAAAGACCTAGAGGTCATCAGGCTACCTTCTTCCTGTAAACGTTATGATGCATCAATTCAGCTTTCACCACACCAAAGAACCTTAAGAAAAATATGAACCTCCCCCACTCCCCAAGGAAGATATAGTGAGGGAATTCAGTGTTAACAATCAGAGGTACTAACAACTAGCCTTTTTTTCATCTCCAGAATTCACTTGAATTCACTTGAAAATGCAGTGAGAATTGATCTGGATTGTTTTGATTAAATTTGGGTTTTTCACCCAGTGTTGCTTTTTTTTACGAGATAGTAGAAATAGGAGTCCCTGGGATTTCACTCTGCTGGTTGTTACTGATTATAGGGGGTAGTGCTCATCTCCATTTCAAAGCCATTGAGCCAGCACCATCTGAAGAGAATTCCGTGATCATCTGGCCAGTATGACTTCAAGAAGTACTGTTACCTTCCCAACAAAGTGCTACCTATTTATCTACTTGCATTTGCATGCTTTAGAACTTCTAGTTTGGCAGAAGCTGGGGCGAGGACTGGAGCTCACCCTGCCACATGGCGCTCAGGTCTCGAACCTTGACTGCCAGCTTTTCCAGCCAACAAACCCAGCATCTTAACTACTGAGCCACCATCCCTGATGAAATGGACAGCATGTAAATTTAATTTAATGAACAAATAAATAGGCGCTTTGGTGGCACGATGGTTAGAATGCAGTATTGCAGGCTAACTCTGCTCACACTCTGGCATTTGATCCTGAAAGGGTTCGAGGTTGGCTCAACCTCCAAGGTTAGTAAAATGAGGACCCAGATTGTTGGGGGCGATATGTGATATTATAAACTGCTCAGAGAGTGCTATAAAGCACCATGGAGCAGTATATAAGTGCTCTTGCTCTTGCTGAATACACAAACAATGTTTGACATACTTGCAGGTTCTTAGCACTTGCAGAAAACCAAGAAGCAACCAATACTTTTCTTTCCAGGTCTAAAGGTTTTGCCCAGGGAACTCTGAGCCTACGAGCCAGAAGGCGTGTATGCACAGTGTAAGGCTTAAAATACACCCCTTCCCTTTATGAAAACAATTACAGGTAGCCTTGACACAGAACTATTCATTTAGCAACCATTCAAAGTTACAACAGCATAAAAAAATGACTTAACAGATCCTTGCACTTATGTCCATTGCAGCATCCCCACAGTCATGTAAACAAAATTTGGATGCTTGGCAACCAGCATGCATTTACAATGGTTGCAGTATCCTGGAGGATCACGTGATCATCATTTGTGATCTTCTTGGCCAGCTTCCAACAAAGTCAATAGGAAAAGTCAGGTTTGCTTAATGACTGAAGGACTCACAACTGCAGTGATTTCTTTAACAACTGTGGCAAAAAGGTTGTAAGTTAGGTATGACTCACTTAACAGCAATGGAGATTCTCTTCCCACTTGTCAGAAATCGAGGTACTGTACACAGATTATATGGTTAGTGTCTGTGTGCTCATCAGAGAGGTCCATTGGCCTTTCTTTCCAATTTAAATTCTTCTTTCAGAATCTTTATTCAGCCATTCAGTGAAACCAAGGGAAGACGGGCACCACACTGTTTTTCCCCTAGCTATTAAGCCCTTAACTCTTTCACTATCACACTTGACTTCAGTCAATTCCCCCCCACCCAAGTTATCTGCCATTTTTAACTTTAGTCTGCATTGTTAAAACAGAAGAGTTTTTTTTAGCATATTGAGTGACTAAAAATATATGGCTGCCCAACTCACTTTCAGCGACACCAACGACAATCTGTCAATCAAATAAATCACTTGATTATCTCTATCTCACTCTGGGTTCCCCAGGTCCATTGTCAAAACCAGATCTTCAGGGCCTCGTGAAAGATTGTCAAAATGGGGGAGCCATTCTTATCTCCATGGGGATGATATTTTCATAGAGAAGGAGCCACAGATTAGCCTAATTTAACACAATCCAATCATAAATTACCCTAAATACAACTAATTTAAGTATCCCAAAAACTCACCATCTGGAGCTGTAGAATTCAGAACTTCCTTGATTTCATCATCTGTTAGGTAAATGCCCATATTGATTAGGGCATTATCCAGATTATTGACATAAATCCAATCCACTGAGAAAAAATAATAAGAATCAGCAAATATTCCCAGAACCTTGGCATTCCATATGTAGTCAGCAAAGCTCATAAGGTAACTTTGCAAGTCTTCCATTCTAAAATCAGACAAGCAACCTCTTTAGAATGGAAATCTGGATTCTATACAATACGCATACTTTTTTCTTCATTTGATATTATTGGTGCATTTTTATTGTTTTGCTTAAAACATCATCATTGTAATATCTAAATGTAAAAAAGCACCCTCTCAAGAAGCTGAATTCTGTTCTGATTACAATATTCTATATTCCCACAGAATCAAAACATCAAAACACAGACCCTAGTTTCAAGCAGACTGCCTTTTACTAAGCCCACTAATTCACATGTTACTGTAGTTTTATCTCCTCACCTTCTAATTGCTGCCTCTTTTTTCAACCCCACTAGGCCCATCTGTTTTCCCCCCCAAATATTGCCAGCATGCTTGAAGAATTTTAATCCAACCATGAAAATTCACTTACTCCCAGCTTGGGATTCTCTCTGGGTCTTAGCCACACTTTCAATCAGTTCATTCATCTTCACCTTTTCATTTTCTGCAAAGGCATTTAAAAGTGAGTTTAGCATGTAGGCAGCAAATGCAGGAAGAAGAATTGACTGGAACATTTTGCAAATCAGTTTAATTGCATTTAAATTATATAT